TTACCAAAAAAATGCGAGGATTGCACTTCCATTGAGGACATTTGTATAGGCAATGTAAAAATTCCGTGTGTATTTTGTAAAATGCTGTCACACTTAAATAACTTGAGAACTTCAAGTGAAAGCTCTTACATAAATGCAAATTACAGTTGATTATATTTGAATGTCATTTTACAAAACAGCAAGGGTGGAATTAAAAAACAAAGCTTAGCAGGCAATAAAAGCGACTTAGAAATTATGACCTGGATGAAGGCAAAGCGGTGGTCTTGTGGTTTTTGAGGGCAATATACTTTCATAATTGGTGGAGGTTGATTATGCTTCATAGCTGAGATTAATACTCTAGCTTTCATTGTGGAGTTTAATTTGCAGTAAGGGTCAGCCTGATGCTTCCTCACTAGACTGTTTTTTTTCCCACAGTTAGAAGAGAGGGCCATGTTTATTTTGTCTACTGAGCCTTTGTTCATCATCTTCATCTCCGCCTGCCAGCCGAATCCTCTCTTCTCTCTGACATGTTGCCTGACCTCTCTATCCATACTGAGTTCTACTTTCTCAACCCCTGTGTAGCATTGCCGATGTACAGACTTAACCATGTTCTGCCCTTTATTGTCAGGCACTGTTTGAAATAGTGAGGTCTTGTTTCAATAAATGATATATTATGTGCTCCTGGAGGGACAGTGTTGTAACTCCTTGGTGCTCCATGCATTCTAGATGTATTTATTTACAGTCATGCAGTTTATGGCTAGATGAAGCCTTAGGGAGATGATTTGTTTCAATTGCATAATCTTGTGGACCAGGAAAATGAAGCTCTATAGAGGTAAAGTAGTTTCTTCTAAGGGTTATGGCTTGTGTTAGGCCTAGAATTTAGGTGTCCCAATTTCCAGTTTAGTATAATTTCCACTCTTCCTTCCTTATATACTTCATTCAAAGAATATTTATTGAGCATCAGTGGCAGGCACTCTGCTAGACCCTGATACTGCAATGCTGAGCCTGTCTTGGAACTTATATGGTGATCAGGGAGAAAGATACTAACAAATAGCACACAGATTAGATGCACACTAGCTACTGAGATAAGTGCTGTTAAGGATTATGTGGTTCTGAGAGAGTAGGTAATGGATGGAAGATTTCCTTGAGAAACTTGTCTTTGACTTGTAGGACTTGACACTGTGTTTATATGTACTTTTTAAATGCACTTAAATTAGACAAATATTTGTTGTTGCTCACTCTGTGCTGGGCCCCAAAAGAAATTAGAGCCAGTAAGCTACAGCCCCTTCCCTCAATGTATAGTCTAGAAGACGATCAGCCAAGAGGTAACTATCAACGTAAAGCAAAATGTAGAAGTTCCATGGTTCAAGACACAAAGCTGGGCTTCCCTGGTGGCGCAGCGGTTGAGAGTCCGCCTGCCGATGCAGGGGACACGGGTTCGTGCCCCGGTCTCGGAAGATCCCACATGCTGCGGAGCGGCTGGGCCCGTGAGCCATGGCCGCTGGGCCTGCATGTCTGGAGCCTGTGCTCCGCAGCGGGAGAGGCCACAGCAGTGAGAGGCCCACGTACCGCCAAAAAAAAAAAAAAAAAAAAAAGACACAAAGCTCACATTTTGTGGGAGAGGAGGAACATTAGGAACATCTTCCTGTCAGAGATGGCATAGGATACGGCCCCTGAACGAAAGCTAAAGAAAGGAATAGAGAAGGCCTTCCAGATGTAAGAAAAAGCAAACCGAAATGGAGCAAGATAGGAAATTAGAGGAGTTTTCTAACAACAGAAAGTAATCTCATTTTACAGGAGCAGGCTTTTCGGTTACACAACTGTTGGGGATATTGTCTATTTAAATGCCCTTACAGTCAACTGAAATTAAAGATGGAAATGCAAATGTTCCCTCGTTTCTCCTCCTGGAGCACATACTCCTGTGCTTTGTTTGGTTGCCGGCTATATGGACTGTTCCCGCCAACTCCACCCCTACCCCTCCGTGGCAGCTACATCTAAGTCTTTAATTGCTATGTTACCTAGCATTTCACTGGGGTTCAGTAAACATTTAATCGTCATAGTAAAAAGTGTCTGCTATGTTGAAACTGTTTTCTCTGGCATAAGTTACCTTCTCTAGAAACAGAACTCCTTCCGGATGACATGGCTGGCCCAGTGTAGTGAGTATCAAATTCAGTTTTTACATACTGCCTACACTAACCTGTATCATCACGTAGCTTTTATGCAATTCAGAGAGGTCTCAACCGTTCCTCCCAATGGATGGTATAATAGTTTGTCTAAATATTGTTGTAGGAAAGTGCTGCAGAATTACTTATTAGCATGTGTTAAGTGGCCAGCTACTGTGTTCCAGGTTCTGTGTAGGACACAGTGTTATTGGTCAATCTTATTAGGGAAGTAAATGGAGGAGCAGATGAGTGGTACCTGATCCAACTCAGGCACAGATATACTTTATCGTTTATAGCATTGCCAAGAATAAAAATTAGGGATATTTCATGGAAAAATCTAGATTTTTGGCTTCCCTTGGTAAATCGGAAGATCTGGCAACACTGGGCTTATATCCCAATGGCAACAGTTAGTGGGAGGTAAATAGCAGCTGTCCTCTTTAATTAGGGTGTGTGTTTCTCAGTGTGCTGTAGTCCCTATCACTCCCTATTGCCTACATCTAGCTTGTTTTATTCATTTCTATGGCTTCCTGGCCCTTATAATGCCCCTTGCTTTGGAGTGCTCTTGCCTTTCTGGGACCCTTCTCTTTAGTTTCCAATAGCAATTTTCTGGTCAGCCAGACAATTAATTATGACCACAACAACTAGTGTCTGTGTGATGCTTAATAGTTCGCCGTGGTTCTCGAACTTTTCCATGTATCAGAATCATCCAGAGGGCCTGTTAAAACAGGGATTTGCTAATCAGTTTCTTACTCAAAAAGCTTGAGGTAGGATGGAAGGATTTGCATTTTTATCACATTCCCAGGTGATGCTGGCTGGTGTGTGTACCACCTTTTGAGAACCAGTCAACTACTGTATTGTAGCACAATAGTAAGTCATGTGAGCTTGTTGGGGCAGGATGTTCCCCACCAGAGATAACATTTGGCAAGATTAAGCAACTTATCCAGTGTCATAAGAAGCAGCAGAGTCAGATTAAAACCATGTCTTTAGAGTATATCCAGTAGGAGACCATCCCATACATCCCTGTTCCTGCCCCACATCTGCCCTCCAAGATGCACAGAATCCTCTAGAGAACGCTGTAAAACAGACATAGCCACGGGGATTCTAATTGAGGATTATACCATGGGTGATCGTTGTCATATCTCAGGACACAGAGAGTTAGCACTTGTTTGTATTCAGTGAGCAAAGGCAGAAAGGCGAGGTCAAATCTTGACATCAGGCATACCTGTGAAGGTATGAGACATGCCTGCTGGGCAAAGTGCAGGAGGCCCCACAGGCAGTGTTTCGTGCTTGAAGGAGGTCCACTTGAGCAGGCAGACGGCAGAGCAGGTGGGACCAGTACAGTCTTTGGTATCGACACGGAGCAACAGGTGCTACAGAGCCAGGCGGAGCACAGCACTGGGGATTCATTGGGGAGCCAGTGATACCGTTTTCAAGGGGGAGCCTCATGGGGAACTGTGACTGAGGTAGGCCCACCTGAGGTCTGGGACTTGGGAACAGGACTTCAGGATGGCAGGATTGCTGGTGGGATAAGACAGATTGCCTGGGCAGGGACTGGGTACAGAAAACAACTATAGGGATCCATTTTCCAAGGTTGGGGTGCAGGGCAGAGCTATAGGGCTTCTCACTTACTAGATCTGACTGTCAGGGTCAGAGCAGAGCTAGCAAGAAAGGTGGTTTCTTCAGTCTTGGCATGTTGGGCTTCTTAAAACTTTCTCTAAGTCAAGATTAGTCTAATGACATGGGGCCCTTCCCTCTTACGGGATGAGAAGGAAGATAAAGATGGGGAACCAGACAGCCCTAACATGGATTAAATTTATTAAATTCTATCTGCTTAAAACTCTATGAAAAGAATAATTGGGTCATCATGTAATCAAGATAACCATTCACTGACCTAGTTCAGAAGTTTGTTTATCTGTACAGAATCAAGACTGTTTTAACAAATTATCAGCCATCTGTCTCCAGTTTTCAAGATAGTTAGTTATTTGTTGATTTCCATATTCATGTGCATATGTAATTTACATGTAAACTACACCCATGAAAACCTATTTTGTTTGAGATTGTTAGACAGTGATATATTCTGGTTAATTTGGGGGTTGACCATACAACATTTTGATTTCAAATCTTGTTGAAAAAAAATTTTTTTTTAAATCTTTTTACCTCTTTCCTGCTAAGTGTTGTATAATGAAAATAACAAAGTCCCTTTTCCTTGTTAAAAAAAACTGAATAGCCTCCTCAATCTGATAATATATATAAGGCAGCTATAAAATAAATATTGGCAGTTCAGGAGTGTGGGAGTGGAGAGGCATGCCTACCGCTGCTCAGGTTCAGTCGTTAATATTAACTGTTCTTCTGTGGTTTTACCCCTATCCCAGAAGCGAGCCATAGACACTAACCCTGATTAGTTGGGGAGTCTGATTGAGCTTCTGCTACTCAGTGAATACCCAGCCCATGAGAACACTCAGGGCTGGGTATATTACGCGTTTAATTATAATAAACTATAAACACAGAGGGGAAGAGGGTCTCTTTTTTCCCTTTAATAACATTAATTGTTTTAGGATTATGATCATCACCTGAAAACAGTTATTATGTGTAGCATGACGTCCTCATTGTTCCGACGGGAACCAAACACTCTGCTTTCCTCTAGTCAACTTTAGGTAGCCTCATGGTTTAATCTAGAGGGAAAGATTTGGGATTGGGTTTTATCTAAGAAAAAAAAAAAGAGAAGCATTACATTATTATAAACCAGTTCAAAAACCAGTATATGAGGAAAGACCTCACTTGTGCACAATGTAGTGTGCAAACCAAAGGCAATTTTCAGTGATGGAAAGGAGATGAAAACTTTTTTTTTTTTTTAAACAGGCTCACGCACAATTAGTTCGAGAAGTTGATGTGGAGAAGGTGTCTGCTTTTGAGAATCCGTATGTAGATGCAATAAAGAGTTTATGGAACGATCCTGGAATCCAGGAATGCTATGACAGACGACGGGAATATCAGTTATCTGACTCTACCAAATAGTAAGTATTCCCCCAGGAGGCCCTTTGGACCTTTCTCTTTGCTTTCATGTGCAGGTGCTCTGCAGTGAGACCTTCTGTGTTCTGTAATGTGTGTTTTGTTATCTGATTCTAACTGCACAGTTAGGAAGTGTAGGCATTAAACTTGTGCCAACCTCATAAATTTAAACTATATTGTAAGGGACTGGCATCATGAGTCAGGGAGAGTATTTTACTGTTTTCTGTTTGAAAAACAAACTGAAGACTCTAGGAATCTGCATTCACTAACCTGTCTCTTTCCACAAATTGTAAACCAGCAGTTCTCAAACACATACTTCATTGTGCTTTGAAATCTTGTAATAATAATTTTTAATGCAAATTTCTGATCTTACTCATATGCTGGAAAACACCTACGCACATTAAGAACCTCAAACAAATGCGCTTGATTATGGCTTCGCAAGCATCAGACCTCCTGGTTTCTAGTTTCCAGGCACAGAACCTTGACTGCTTCCTGGGAGCCACTGTTATGTTGATGGATAGATTTGCCTTTGCATGAAAATTGCGTGGGAGTCTAATTTTGCATGCATTCCCGAATTATTTTGTGAGCTGTCAATCAAAATCATGTGTCCTGGGAGAGATTTGCATCCTAGAGAGCTTTGTTAGTTCTCTAGATTAAATCTTGCCTAACAGAAAGAAAGTAAAGATCTGGCAGTCATTGGATTAATGTAATCAATGTGGTCAGCAATGTAGATAATTGGGCGCCTGAAAAATGGATTATTTTTAGTAGTATTTAGCCAGATTTCTGTCTACATTAATTATGTTAACCCAGCATTTGCCTCTTGTATTGGTTCTGGGCAGACAGAAGAAAGGGTGGAAAATATTCAGCAGCCTCAGGGCAGTTCATGTGTTGAAATGACCCTCTGGATGAGAGCAGGACCATGGGGAAAATAAGGAGCCCCATAGGCTGATAGGCATCACTCAGCAGTGCAGAGAACATCCAAGAGCTGTTTGGCTCTGTTTTTGAAGTAAAGTGGATCATGCTCTTACCCTAGTTCTAGGCATTTGTATAAGATAAGTTATGATTCAGGTTAGCCAAAGAAATGTTGCCTGGTCAAAACAATTCTTGTATTCCTAAGGTAAATCTGAATTACATAATTCTGAAATGTGACGCGGAACGCTCAGGAGCACCGTGTCTGTCGTGTGTAAGCTAATACCCACCGCTCAGTGCCTCTGAAATGCGCGCTTCCTCATTCCCTACTTCTTTTGTCCTTCCACGCCTTCACGGAGCCTTCCACACTGCCTGTCCTCAGTCTTCCTCTTCCGTGTCTGCCCGCCTTCCTTCGCCCCCTTCCCTTCCTCCCTCCCTCCCCCCACCGCCACTGCCCCGAATTCCTACTGTGTTAAGTTCCTGTGAGTGGAGAGATGAAGATGTGTTCAGCTCTGATGTGTTCCAAATTCTGCCCCCTCAACCTTTGACCAGCTGTCTTCCTTTTGCTTCCTGCCCCCTCTGTCTTTCTGTTTCCTTTGCCATTCCAGACTCCATCCATCTCCCCCACATTGCTGCTGTGCTTTTACCCCTCGTTCCTATTGCTGCTCAGTATGTCTTCCGCTGTCCGCCCTCACCTCTGGTTCTCCTTTAACTCCTCTTCACTTCGCACTTTGCTATTGTGACGCCTCTCCTGGTCCATTATAAAGTTACGTAAACAAATAAACCCTCCACCTCTCATTGTTTCTAACACCCGTCTTTTTACTTTATCATAAATCCTGTCTCTCCCCCTCCTCCTTACCTCTTCTGTTCTTTACCTGCCACCTAGATCTGTTCTCCCTACAGAGAGGTCTTGCGACTAGGGTATCAGAGCACCAGTGTCCCATAAGGATGTTGCTTACCAGGGTTGGGGCCCCACCCCCCTTAGGAAATGGTTTGCCTCCCGCTTCTGGGATAGGCCCCCGGAGAGATTCCTGTTTGCCCTGAGGACACCTGGGTTGGTTGCTACGGTTGTGCTCTTGAGACAAAGCTCCACCATATGTCTGGTGACATTCCTTCAGTTTAGATTTGTGCATTCCCAGACAAGTACCCATGAGTTGCTTTAGGGCAAAGAGCTATCCGTAGCGGTTTCTCCAGGCCCCTGTTAGCACTGTGATGCTGGGAGAGCCACCATCTTAGAATTCTGTCGCACAGCCTGCGTCTACCGTAAAAACACGCCTGCTCTGTGGGCACATCCCTCATGTTAGAGCTGAAGATACGGGGGCACCTGGGACAGGCTGATCTCAACCCCTTCGCATGATTATTCTTTAAACAGTTCTACTTTCCCCTGGTGGGTATAGGGAGAACTCGATTTTCTGAACTGTACATCATGTGGGTATATAAGTGCATATGCACATGCACTTTTTTTCTTTTTTAACCATATGTTTATGCAGAAGGAATAAAGTAAATTATATGTCCTTATACCCACATTTCAGTGTGCATCTTTTTGAAAAAATAGGACATTTGCTTACATAATAAATAATGCCATATTATACCTAAGAATAATCAGCCGTCCTTTTCATCATTCCGTACCCAGTTCATATTTCCCACATTCTTCCAAAATGTCCTTTAGAGTCAGTCAATTTTAGGGCTACACATTGCATTTGGTTTTTATGTCCCTTAAGTCTCTTTTAACCTAGTAGAGACCTGCTTTGTATTTCACTGGCATGTTGAAAAGATTGACTTGGACTGGGCCTGATTGCTGCCTCAGAGCATGATTCAACTTTCGCTTCCGTCTCTTGGATTTTCTCCAAACTGGAAGTTGCATTTAAAGACTTGATTCGATTCCAGTTAACCATTGTGAGTAGAATACACTTTAAGTGATGTCATACACTGGTTTACCCATCAGTGGTAAGTTAAGGTTCACCACAGTGTTAGGGCACTGACAGCCTCCATTGTAAAGTTATATTTTTTTTCCTTCTGCCACCAAAAGCAATCTGTGTGGTGTTACTTGGTCATTGTGTAATCTCCAGTTCCCCATCAACTCTTCACATGATCACTTTAATTCCAATCAATAAGTCTTACCTGGTTTAATAATTCCATTAGGACTTGTAAAAGAATGATTTTCTGCTTTTATCATTTGGTCTTTGTTGGCATTCTTCTATGAAGTAGAAAGTTTTCTCCTCCGCTGGTGCTATTGGCTCATCCTGAAATACATTTTCTACCAAAAGGAATATGTTTCATTCAGTCTTTTCGTTACAGTAATTTGTTACATAGGCTAAATAGATGGTGACTGTATAACTTATGCAAACCAGGACACTTTGAGAAGGAAGGGGTTACTATTAATGATTACAATGCAATAGCAGGCATAAACTGGGAATCTCCTGGTCAAGCAGGGACATTTGGTCACCTTAGCTAAATGACACCTAGGGAGGTGTTTTGTTTTTTTCCCCTTCGTTTTCTCTAGAAGACTCTTATTTACCTTCAGGGAGTAGAACCAATCTATTCCTGCCAATTATGTAAGTTGTGTGTGGAAACCTGAGTTAGCTGACTCCATCCATGTTTCTGATCTCTAACCAGGATGTTTCAGCACTCTTTTTTTTTTTTTCAGTATGCGGGCCTCTCACTGCTGTGGCCTCTCCCGTTGCGGAGCACAGGCTCCGGACGCACAGGCTCAGTGGCCATGCTTCAGGGGCCCAGCCGCTCCACGGCATGTGGGATCTTCCCGGACGGGGGCACGAACCCGTGTCCCCTGCCTCGGCGGGCGGACTCTCAACCACTGCGCCACCAGGGAAGCCCTCAGCACTCTTTATATTATATATCAGGGCCCAAGCAGCCTGGCTGGCCTGCCTTTAATCCCATTGTGCCGGGAGGCCAAGTATTAGAGTCACTTTATTCTTCCCCATCTTAGTCCCAGGCATTTCCCTTTTCCCTTAGCCAGGAAAACCTTCCCAGCACAAAGGTAAGACCAGTGACTTTTTGGATTCACCCATTTGCTGCTATGTTCTACATGTTCCTCCAGTGTGGTCCAGAGAACGCCCCGTGAACTGCGGGGATAGTACTGGTGAGAATGTAGGTCCCCTATCTTGAGCATCACTGATTCCCAGTACTAATTTCATTTTCAGAGAGTAACTCAGAATAATTCCTTCTTCTGCATTCGAGATGGTTGTTACCCCTTTTCCTTTCTGACCTTTGTGTACATTCCACTGGTGTGTCTTTTAGTATTTTATCCTGCCTCTGTTTACTTCATGAGGAGGCATGTTGTTCTTTCTGTCTTTATAATTAAAATTTTAAAAACTTGGTTGATATTCTGCACCCAGTTTCTTATACGGTGACATCACCTTACAGAAATCTTTCTGAATTTAAGACCAGCCTCCCTGAGTACTGACTGTCTCTCTCGTGGTTCTTCAATTTAGATTTAGGGAACATGTAGATACCTAATCTCTAGCCGTGTGAGAATCCGTGCCTGCCATGCCCATCTGCTTAAAGTTTTCAGCTTAACAGCAATTCTCTCCAGGACCCTGCTGGTTGTGAGAGTCAGTGTAGGCCACTTGCCAGGAATACTGAGAACAGAGGCCAAGCATGCCTCTCTTCTTTTCTATCTGAGCTCCTATTTATCCTTCAAGACCCAATTCAGGAGTCACACCCTCTGAAAGTCTTGCCCAGCACCAGAGATAGTGAGTCACTCTGTCATGTATCTTAACACTTGTACAAATCTCCTTTGTATCTGGTATCGTGTTTACCGAAGTGTCTCTCTCCTCTGCCCACAGTGCCTAACATTGACTGCTCACGTTTGACCTTCACAAATGGTTGTTCCATGAAATCATAGATGGGTAATTTCCACCGTTTCAGTGACCGTGATGTAGGCACTATCTGTCTTTGGCCATTATAGACGAGCTATGAAGTTCCAGAGCTAAAGGCATTTTAAGTCTTTTTTCCTGCTGTTTTTGAAGATCTGGCATGTGGAGAGTTCTATTATCAAAATAGCTGCCATTTACTGAACATCTTCCAGTATGGTAGATTCTGTGCTTAGTCGTTTATATGCAAAACTGTAGATATT